GTGGAACACGCTCAAGCAACTTAAAAGAAACGGAAGACCATTGACTTGTTGACTTGCCTACTCTGGTCTCTTTCTTTCAAGCTAGAAAACAAGACAGAATTGAATTAATCAACTTTGGAAATTTTAGTCTCCTCTCTTGGAAGCACCCATGCAAATACAAAACGAAGACTTGACCTTTGATTTAAGAGCAGGAGCTTCTTAAATCAAAAACCTTAAAGAAAAATGAAATTTAGGTTTACCCAAAACCATTATATTCACTTAGAGTCATAAGAACAAAATTAAGATTAATTTACCTGAACAAAAATGAAAGCTGTCAAGGAAAATTGGTCCAGATTTTACCTTTTGGTTCAACTATTTGAGTTGTGGAACCTTTCTGCTTATGTATACTGCTTATGTATATAAATAGCTGCAATGGAACACATAGATTGAACAATGTCAACAAGGAACATAAAAGAATTAAAAACGATGCATTAATTTATTGTAGGTACACCATATAAGATATCTTCTCCAGATTCTGACGTCAAGACCATTGAGTTGTTAAGATCAATCAGATTGGAATTCATTGTAGGTAGACTTGTATATATAAATGGACAACTTCGTGATCACCACGAGTCAAGGAAGAATCTAATTAATTTAATGTAAGTAGAATATGTATGTAACGACAACTTGGTGACCAACACAAGTTGGAATTTTCTCCGGATTCTTTATATCTCCTGTAAGTATGTATTTTTTCTAAAAGATATTGGATTGTAGAACTCAGTAATGTGCACTGAATTCTTCTAAAGGAAAGTAAATAAAAAAAAGTGGGAGTGTGACGGAACATAAATACTACCACACTGTTTTCTATTTTTCCCCATCTAGTCAGAAAGAAAGAACCTAGCCCAAATTCTACTTTTACACATGGACTTAATCTAGCCAAAAAAGAAAAACCTTTTTTATTAATAATATCTTAAAGTAAACCCACCATTCAACAAAGTATAAAAGCAAGTTCATGAGCAGCTCAATCATACTAAATGTTTTTGCTTCCTTAAACCCTTATCTGATTCCAATTATGAGAGTTTCAAAAACCTAGCGCTTCCTCTATATACTAGTAAAACATTAGATATTTCGGCAATGAGGTTTCAGCAACTTTGTATAGGTTTACAGCCAACAACTCTGTAGGACGAAAGATACAACCATCAAAATAGACTAACCTAACAAAATCAATATGTATAGGGCAAGATGGTACCAAAGAAAAAAAATGGGGAAGACAGACCAAGTTTGTTGTTTTGACAACATATGATTGTTAAAAGATCACGTACAGTGAAACAGTCTAATGAACATCCCATAAAATCATTACTATTATAAGGTCATATAACTTAAAGCTTTCATATCTCTCTCTCAATGTGATAGGAATGGAATCAAACCAAGAAAACAAAGAGAAACACCACATTATAACATTTCGTAGCTAATCCGCTAAGGTCGAAATGCTGAAAGCTATCAACAAATTATTAAGGACCAATGGGACCTGTTCAGATTAAATCAACACTTCATTGGAAGGTTTGTCGATGTTGTAATACAGAGGTCAGGAAGTGAAGGCTATTTTGCCATTGATCTACTGAATTAGTTCCACTCTCTAAGACAAATTAGGAAAAAAATTTATTATAACATTTTTATGTGAAAGTGGTACTAAGCATTACATTGGCTCCTTTCTTGATAATATGCTGAATTATGCCACTTTTCTTACCTATTTTATGGTTCTGGAGTTTGCCTCTGTTAACTTACTGACAAATAATTAAGGACCAGTGGGACCTGTTCAGATTAAATAAACACTTCATCAGAAGGTTTGTAGATGTTATAATACAGAGTTCAAGAATTGAAGGCTATTTTGCTATTGATCTGTTGAAGTAGCCACTCTCTCTTAAGACAAGTTAAAAAAAAAAAAAAATTATATTAAGAACATTCTCTTGTGAAAGTGGTCATAAGCATTACATTGGCCCGTTTCATGATAATATTCTGAATTATGCCACTTTTCTTACCTACTTTATAGTTCTGGAGTTTGTTTTTGTCACTGATACTAAATTATCCACCTTAGTCTTCAGATTCTCAAAAGATTAAAAAATTCAAGCAGATAATTCATTATCTGACAATGACTCAGGTTCCCTAGAGCACAACCAAGTGGTTAAGAGCTTATCTCAAGTTCAAATTTTAAAATGGACTGAGAGGGTCACTTTTGTAACAAACAAAAAATGCAGAAGTGGATTGCTTGCATTGTTGTTTTCATTGAAACATTGAACTTGCAAGAAACAGACTTAGCACATAACATACCCACATCACAGAGAAAGCAACACCTTACCTTTGATGCGAACCAGCAGTCCTTTTTACTCAAAATAACCTGAAAGAAAAAAGTTGAAAACCCATGAGTTTTTAGAATATTAACTGAATTATTTACAGAAAACAGAACTGATCATCTAGTTTTGTTATTTCTGGGGATGAAAGAAACAGGGGAAGAGAGAAAGGAAATTACCCGTTTGATTGACGAGTCGAATCTCAGACCCTCCACTTCCGCCATTTTTG